GTCTTCTGCGCTCGCCGCGACGTGAGTCGCCGCTGCCGCCTGCGCCCCGGCCACTACCTCGTGGTGCCCAGTGCCTCCCACGTTGGCGATGAGGCTGACTTCACTCTGCGCATTTTCTCTGAGCGCAGCCACACCGCAGTGTGAGCCCCGGACCCCGACACCCAGCCTTGTCCCGAGACCCCCTAGCCCTGCCCCGACACCTAGTCACACCTCAGGACCCCCAACCCCGGAACCCTGAACCCCCCTTCCCAGTGCAGGAGGCCAAGGACCAGAGACCCCGCCCGATTCTTCCACTAAGACCCCCTTCTGCCCCACAGCCCAGCCGTGGGGTGACCAGCACCCCATCTCCCGTCTCATTTTGCAGGGAGATCGATGATGTGATCAGCGCTGACCTGGAGACCCTCATGGTGCGGCTGGGAGGGGAACGACGTGGGAGGGGAGGGCTGGGGTCTGGACTGAACCCCTCCTCCCTGTAGGTCCCCGCCAAGCCCCTGGAGCTGGAGTTGGTGCAGCTGTTTCTGGAGCTGGCTGGGGAGGTGAGGGGGGCCCGGCGGGGTTCCCCTCCCTGGCCCTGAGCTCTCAATTTGCTTTTCCTTCCCTCCTTCCGTTGAGCTTCTTTTCTGGAAATGGGCAGAGCTCTCCTCCGCCTGGAGGCCTTGGTCCGCATCTGCATAGGGGCCTGGACGGCTTCCTTCCCTCACACCGCCAGCCTCAGGCCTCATCTTCCCCACATGCCCCTCTGTCCCTATTTGCCCACTGTGGCACCTCTCCTCCTTGTTGCCCTAGCCACTCTGGGGCAGGTCTGTCTCCCCAACTCTGAACGCTGAGGACAGGTCTGGGGCTCTTGGGCAGTCGATCCCCAGCACTGTCCAGCACACCTGGCCCAGAGCAAGCAGTTTGTTGACTGGCTGCATGAGAGAATGGCCTCACCAGTGTGTCTTTCCCTGCCTAGGAGGAAGAACTCAATGCCTATCAACTCCAGACCTTGCTAAGTATTGCCCTGGAGCCAGGTGAGTTGGGGTGAGCCTTGCCCTGGAGCCAGAGGTTCTTGTGATCACAGCCGGACCCCCACAGAGCCCTTGTGTTAATTTGCAAAGCTGCCAAGGGTGGGGCCATAGGTGCTCAACTCGCCTGTGGCCCATGGTGGTCCCTATGGCTGGGCAGGGCCGCAGCCACCCGTGAACTCCTCTTCCTCTGTGATGCAGACTGGGAACTCCCCCCTGGACTTATATCCCAGCTCTGCTAGCTCAGCAGCAAAGGCTTTCTGTGCCTGTTTCTGTAAAAGGCCAAGTCGGGGTGTGTCCACCTTGCCAAGGAGCCCACATGCAGGCACTGCCTTTTTTTCCCCCCTTGCAGCCACATCCAGGGCCCACACTAGGAACCCTGGGGAGATCGGGCTCAGGACCTGTGAGCAGCTGTTGCAGTGTTTCGGGGTACAGTGCCTGGGAACCGGGCATGGGGAGGTTCCTCCTGGGACATGGGCCTTATCTAGATAACCCCCCTCACAGAATGGGCAAAGCCTGGCCCTGGAACACTTCCGGCAGCTCTGGGGCCACCTCCTGATTTGGCAGGTAAGGTAGAGGCTGGGTAGGGTTGACTCCTTCTGGTCATCCTGTGGGCCACCAGGGCCCCCAGGAGCAAGGGACTGAGCCACCCTGTGCAGACTTGGAGTGACCTGGCTGGGATGTCCCTGCCCTGTTTGCCCCTGTGGTCCCTGTAGGGATGGAGAGCACAGCTTCTGGTCTTGGGTTGGACTCTAGGCTCCCGCTCAGCCCCATTCAGGCTGGGGGGCCCCAGGTAGGTCCCCTCCCCTCCAAGGGACCTCTGCTTGGCTACTCGTGGGTGGCCCAATCCCTGAGAGGAGGAGATGGCCTAGGGCTTCTCTGTACTGCTAACTCTTGGGAACCAGTGCTTGGAGAGCCCTCCCTAGGCTCTGGGCAGACTGAAATTGCTCCTCAAGCCTGTGTGCGCCCCCCCCTCCAGAGGAGAGGTACAGGGTGGCTAGGCTGCTGCCCCAGGGCAGATAGGTAGAAGGGTGCCGAGGTGGGAGCTGGCTGTGGCCTCTGAGGTCCCCCTTAGCTTCTTCAGGGTACACAGGACAACGGGGCCCTCAGGGCTGCAATCCAACTGACCTACTCCTCTCTGTCCAGGACACATTTGACAAGTTTGATGAGGACACCTCTGGGACCATGAATTCCTATGAGCTGCGGCTGGCCCTGAATGCCGCAGGTATGGATGGGGCCCTTGGGGTGTTTGGGGGTGGCCTGATCTCCCCGAGTCCTGTCTGCCTGCCCAGATGCGGCCATTCACAAGGCCTTTTCCCAGTGGGGCCAGGGTGGGATCCTCTTGGTGTGGACTGTGAGGGGTCCCTGGAAGGCAACACTGGGTACCAGCTTCCCAGACAGTGTGGTGCAATGTCCTAGATCTGGTGAGCTTGGGTTGGAATCCTCCCTCTGCTGACTTCCTGCTGGCACAGGACTACCTCTCAGTGGGCCTGCATCACTGTGTGAGGGTGGCCTGGGGAACCTGTGGGGTGACACTGCATAGGCACTGGTGCAGGAAAGGCAGCCTTTTTGTCATCGTCCCCCCCCACCACCACAATGCCCCAAAGGAAGGCATTGAAGCTGGTGTAATCCCAGCACTCTGGGAGGCTGAGGCAGGAGGACCAAGAGCACAGCTTGGGCACCTCAGTAAACACTTTTATCAAAATAAATGGCTGGGGATGTAGCTCAGTGGGAAAGTTCTGGTACAACCCCAAGCACCACCACAAAGAAACAAAAAAGGAGGCGGCAACAGCTTCCATTGCAGAGGAGGGAGAGCCAGCCTGTCCCCTGGGTGTGGAAGCACAAAACCCTAAGGCAGCCCGAGGACCAGCCCCGGAGAGAAGTGCTTCACACCAGGTCCCCATCTAGTGGGGTCCTCCAGCCTGAGCGCCATCTGCTGTGTGCAGTAGAGGTGTGGGGACCAGAGGCAGGGTGACTGGGATCCAGAGACAGAGGGCCACGAATGTGGGGGCGGGCAGGTGCCCAGGGATGTGTAGGCCGGCTGAGCCTAAGTCGGGGAGGTGGCATCAGAGTAGAAGACCGGGAGTTATGGTGAGGACTCTCAGCAGAGATCGAGGAAGCCGGGCATGAGAGCGCACACCTGGAATCTCAGCACTCTGGGAGGCCGAGGCAGGAGTATCACAAGTTGAAGCTCAGCTGGGCAACTCAGTGACTTGAGAACCTATCTCAAAACAGAAAATGAGGGGTGGGGATGTAGCTCATCCTGAAGGCCTAGGTTCAATTCCTAGTCACACACACACAGAAAAACTGATGCGGAGCACAAAGGAGTGACTACATATCTGACTGCCACCAGCGGGTATTTCTAGGGCCCAAGTGAGTCCTTAGGTGCCAGGTGCCACACAAGCCCTCCATGTTCACACCCCTGCGGGCCAAGGCTGTCACAGTCCCCACTTGACACGAAGGGAGTGACCTGGGCCTCATGGATGGGGTGCCCTGGAAGTGGGGCTCATGGGAGCTTCCCCTAGGCTTCCACCTGAACAACCAGCTGACCCAGGCACTCACCAGCCGCTATCGGGACAGCCGGCTGCGTGTGGACTTTGAGCGCTTCGTGTCCTGTGCGGCCCAGCTCACCTGCATCTTCCGTGAGTGCCAGCCCCTGCTCGGTGGGCACAGGGCTACGTCTCCCTCGCCTGGGAGATGGGGTGGTGGGTGCTCACTGTCCCTCTCTGCGCAGGCCACTGCAGCCAGCACCTGCATGGGGGTGAGGGGGTCGTCTGCCTGACCCACAAGCAGGTGAGTTGGGCCAGAGGGACAGGGAGGCTCTAGCACCGTTCAGGGACCCAGCCTCAAGCCTGCCTCTTCCTTCTCTCACGCAGTGGGCAGAGGTGGCCACCTTCTCCTAGAGCATCAGGTCAGTGCCTGCTGCCCCACTGACCAGGCCGCCTCTCTGTGCTCAGCTCTCCGCACCCGCACCGGGTCAGCACTGGCACTTCCTGTGCAGCCTGCTGGCCCGTGTTCGTCCCTGCTCCCCTTTAGACCCAGGGGGCCCACGGATGGGAATGGGGTCTGTGGGCTCACATGCTCTCCTGAGCGGTAGAGAACAGAGCACAGAGAAAGAGAGGACACTGTAGGGCTCCTTCTTAAAAATATTATGTTTTATTATCCTGTCCCCAGAAGGGTGGTTTATCCAGAAACCAAGAAAAAAAAAATCAGAATAAACTCAAGGGGGAGGGGAGAGGCAGAACCATCAACTACCAGGCAGCCAGGCCAGCAGCCCACCGCCACCTCAGGAGGTCCCCGGAGACCCCTGCCCGCCGCACACGAGGAGGACAATCTGGAAGGGGCCAGGAGGGCAGCAAATTAGCTATGTTTTCATTATGAGAGCAAAAGAGGCGGCAAAGATACGTTGCTAGGTGAATATATATTTATATAATAAATCCGTAAGTTAATAAAGTAAATAGTAATCCTCTGAAACTTTTTATAGATTTTTTTCTTTTGAGTTTTTTTTTGAGTATTTTTTTTTGTTTTTGTTGTTTTTTTTGTATTTTTGTTGTTTTGTTTTGGTCCTTAGAAAATCTGAGACGGCAAGTTGAGACAAAGCAAGGCCAGGGTGGGCTGGGGCAAGGGCCCAAGTGGCCTGCCCGGCCCCTCTGTGGTGCTGAGGGGGTGCTGGGTGAGCACCTCAGCTCCTGGCAATCACAGATGCAGCTGGGGAGGCAGGGGAAGGAGTGGGTTGGTCCAGTGGGTAGCTGCTGCGCCCTCTGCTGGACCCTCTGTAGGGCAGGGCAGTTCCTGGACAAGGCACATGGGGCTTTGGCCCAGATGTGGGAGGCCTGGAAGGGACCTCAAGGGCAAAGGGAAGGACCTGGGTGTAGAAGGGCATCCCCAGGACACAGAGGGGAACCTACTTTACTATGGGATCTGCTGTGTCCTCCACATAGGTGAAAAAAACAAAACAAAACAAAAAAACAAAACCACAGTAACACATCATATATATTTACCAGACCAGAGAGGCACTGACCCCAAGTCTCCCTTCCCCTACCTCATGGGGGGACCTCCTGGCCAACCAACAAGAGAG